TAGATGAAACCAATCTAGTTTTTTGACGACCGGTACCCTTTTGAACACATCAGAGTAAGCCGGAGCGAGTGGTATACCCGTAAAATGCTGTTCTACTGGTAAAAAACCGGCAGTCTGGAAAAATACTCGTGGACCGACAATTATCGGTATGCTAGCCGGTCTAAAATTCGGATCAGCTAGCTGTGGGTGCCTCTTCCGTCTATGGTCGTGACGATTATGTAGATCTCTAATGACAACAATTATGCCAAAAGAAAAAAATAAGGATACTTTTGAAGAATCTTATAATGATTATAATGACATTCTGAAAAAAAGTTAAAGCCACTGAAGAACGTGAATATCAATACTTAAGCCTCCGTACTCGAAAACAGTCAACTTTCATCAAAAATGTCGAAATTGAGATAAATGGATAGGAAGATAGCCTGTCTTCAGATCTTTCATAAACAATAAAAATTTCTACTATCACCTCTTTTTTTCCAAAAACTTTTCAAGATTTCTGTTGACCCTATTCGAAAAGTTAGCTTTTTTTCAAAAAAACAAGACATCTTTTTCGTTTTTCCTCGGTTTATGATTTTTCGATCTTCTGACAAGAAATTCTCGGTCCAGACCCTGGCAATATATTTAAATTTTTTTTTGAAGGAGCACGTCGAGATGCATGATACCATAGAGCCCTTTTTAAATTAAGCTTGATTTTTTATTATGTATACAGACATACACACCCATTTTTGGCGCGTTTTTTCAGTCATTGAACTCGTAATTCCCTTCTTCCGCTAAAAAAATAAGAATTTAAAACAGAGGACTCTGTGGTGGCCTGCATCCTGTTATGCTCTTTCAAACAAAAAAAATTAAATATATTGACAGAGCCTGGACCGAGAAATTTTTGTCGCGAAATGAGCTACTTTTGACCCTTGATTGGTTCATCAACGTCAGGATATCGCGCTGAAAATTTAACCAAAGCCTCCTCACTTCAGCCTCAACATATGCTCCAAATTTCATCCCATTTCAGTATACCTAGGCGGGGATCGGTTGCGGACTGGGGAAGGGGCCTTAAGTAATAATAATGAAAGCGGAAAAAAATTCAGAAGTAGTGCCGTAATTTCTATTAATTATTCTTATTGTTTTTCTCGAATTGTTTATGTTGTGGACTTTAATCCAGATTTAATATTAAATATAAACATAATCAACACACAGATATTTCTTTTAATTTCATAATTCAATTGTAAACGGATAAGTTTTAGAAATCTGCGTGACCACGACCAAAGTTACTCGGTCACGGTCACGCCACGGTCACGATCACGAAGATTTTCCCAAACTGGTCACGGTCACGGTCACGAGCACGAAGGTTTTCCCAAACTGGTCACGGTCACGCGTGACCGTGACTCGTGACTGTGACCGTGACCATTTTGCAGGTCTCTAGGTTTGAATCATACTTAAGACAAGTATCATTCTTTAATGATCAATTTCATTGCATAGAGCGTCCGCTAAAATCACTAGACAAAGACAGATGTGCGTCATATTACCATTCTTCAACTAGATAACTGATCTTTTTTTTTTAGAGAAGAGCGGACAGACTGAAATTTGCATTTATGAAGGAAAATTCTACTCATACAACGAAAGTCAGAAAAACTTCGTTCTTTATATTACTACGCAGCTCTGACGAGAATATATATCCTATCCGGAAATAGCTCTGTTATTGCGGTTTCATGTTAAAAACTAAATCACTTGCTATCTGTAACCATTAATCTCATTTCTTTTTTCTTGGATTAGGAACGACAATATTTTTCATGTTATTATTCTTATAATACACACCACTTATGCTTTCCGATAAATACGCAAACCAATATCCTACAGTGTTTGAACTATAGCCATGAGTAACAAGTGTTTGTACATTTTTGTTATATAGGGATAAAAGTTCGATGAATTTATGTGTACGAACGAACTTGAAGGTATGGGTGTGGGTGTCAGAGCTGTGACCGGTACCGAGGACCGGCCAGTCCGATGCGGTCTGCTCCAATAGATAATTCTATACCTGCCGGTATACTAACCGATCGTAGCAAATATTTTTCTACTAGGCCGGTACGGATTTCTTTTGACTTTTTTCTCTTTTTTTCTTCGCAAAAATTACTAACAACAATGTTTTTTTTTTTGAGAATGCAAACATTCTGATTTCATATTTAGTTTCAGTCTTATGATCGAAAGGACATCTTCATCATATTTCAATATGAACTTGTCGCAGAATTGTAACCGGAAACAGTAAACGGCTGATCGAGTCTATTTCACTACAGTGAAGGATTCTTTTCCAAACTTGTTTCCACTTGCTGACATAGCGAAACAGTTTTTGGTTTGCTAGTGTATCAAAAAAAAAAAGCCTTTGTATGATATACTATCTGTTTTGTGAATCACGATCTGAAAAGAGTGTGGAGGTTTACAGCTGTTATTGATATTCGGAAAACAAAGAAGACTACTTTGATCAATGGACGAGTCGTTAACAATTCTTCTCATTAAAATGGCATAATTTTCATTCTATTAAATCGACTAAATAAGAACCTATCCATTTTTTTTGTACAACTTTATGTCTGCAGAAAAAAAAACCGACTAGCATGATGCAATCATTTTATATCAAACAAAAAACCTCGCATTGATCATTAATAAAGATTTGTTGCAATTTGTGTCTTTTTGGAATTGCACCTGTTGACGAATTTTTTCATAAACCTATGATCAATTAATGGATAACATTATCATCGAAGTATACATATTTAGTTAAGTTTTTCATTTTTAGAAAAGTACATATGAATTTTTTCTTACGGAAATGTATTAAAAAACTTATTTGGAAAATATCGAATTATTCACTGTTAACGCTGTACACGATTTCAGATCTACATGTATTCATTTGATGCTAAGTTCTACAGTTAATGACAGAAATTTTTAGAGTATCATGGTTCGATTGAAAAAATATCAATATATTTCGTTAATATAGAGAAGCTGATTCATTCACGAATAAGTTAAATGTTTATCAGATTTAGTCTACCATTAAGTTAAACAAACACTTCACCCGAGTGGATTTTATAATTCTTATCATGTTCTATTAATACTTTTGTGTCTCACTCTGCTGTAAATTACACCAATAAACTAATTTTGAAGAGAATATATCATATGCACCCATTAACAAACATAGTATATAAAGTATAAGGAGTGATTTCTGACATCGGAATTCTAGAGATGAAGTGCTTTCCGTACTCCTTTTTTCTTAGAATTTATTTGAACTTCTCTTGTATAATTATATAATACATCTTGATTGTACTAGAAGATAGTTATAATATGAAAATATTATTTTATATTCTCAACTTGTTTTTCAACTTTATTTTATCATTCCTCTCACATCCACAGTCGGTGATCATCTCATCTACATTATTAATTTTGTCATTTTACATTAGTATGAGTACAGAGATGCACAGTAAAATCACACAAAATCTTAAAAGAAAAATATATCGATGACGTTATCCTAAAAAGTGCATCTAACACTCATGTAAAGTATTAGCAAAATTTAATTCTTATTTTTTATAAATATATTTTCGTAATAAAAATTGTAATGCAGAATTTTGATATGAAAACTTACAAATAAGCGTTTCGATTACAAGATCATCAATTAATCGATAATTATTTAGCAATGAATTGATTTGGTAATAACTTCGAGACGACATACATGTCGATTGACAATACTAACATTATGTTTTGAGTTTTTTTCTAACAACAATCAGTTAGAATCGAAACTAATTAATTACTGTATATATTGAAGTATAGAAAATGCAAACAAGAATAGATAAACTTTTTTGAAATAAAACTAATATTTATCATTCATAGAAAGCTTCTTTTGATTTACATGAAGATAAATGAACATTACCATCTACTTTAGACATACAAAAAGTATGGAGATTTGCAGATATAGTTTCAGAAGTAAGAGTTGATTATGTGTGTATAAAAAACTTATGGTAATCTACATTCAGTTACATCTTGTGCTTGATTACGATCACTAAAATCATTCTGAATTTCTCTCACTCATTTGAATGTATTTGTGGGTATAGAATAATCCGAAATTACGTCCTACGAATTTTTCGACAAAATTATATCATAATATAATATGCATATCATCGGAATTGTAAAATATCAAAGTATAGTTATGAATGTGTATCTTTTCACTAGCATACAGAAATTTGATGCATGCCATTTTTTTTCTTTCTGATCCAGTGAAAAAGAATTGCAAAGAATGATGAATGAAATAATATAATTGACGGATCATTTTCATTTAACATGATTAATGATAACAGTAGCACTTGCTCTATATAATCGACTGGACGAAATTTTGGACAAAAACTTTATGTTTTTAACCAAATGAAAGAAAGTCGCCTCGTTATCTGATCAGATAGCATGTCATCGGTTGCGAACTATTCCTTTTCACATATATTCAAACCTGCTTGTTTGGTCACAAAGCAGTTTGCTTGATTTGGTATCTAATTCATCATCATTCCTTGAGTTTACCGAAAAGTAGAGATACAAAATCGAAAGAAGATATTAAGTAAGCATGTAGTATTTTTTCTGTTAGGTATGGAGTTTAGTACGTTTTCTAATATAGAAACAAAAATTTTTCTTATTTCTGAGAAAATATCGATGTATCAGTCACATCTTATATTGCAATATTTGATGAAGATTGGCGATACATTGAAGACATGTAAAGCTCAATCAATGTTACAAGTTTAAAAGAAAAAGAATTTTCTTCAAGCTTCCTATAGAGTAAAATCATACGATATCATTGTTAAGTAAAGTTTCAGTTAACGCCAAACTCATATTGGTATCTTATTCAATTGTAAAATAAATAATTTAACAGTAAAATCAACTAGTGTTTTGCGCGTTTTCACTGACGGTACATTCTATCTCATACATGTTTTACTAGATAAAATTTAAATTCGTTTTTCTTTATATTCTGAAAGAGTTCTGTAGTCGATTAATTACATTTCAGCAAATACTAAACGTTGCTGATCAGAAGGAATACCTTGCTTATCGTGTGGCAACTATTTCATATTTTCAATATGAATTTTTAGGAAAAAAAAATTCAAAATTTTGAGATGGATTCTATAGGATTGGCCAGTGGAAAAAAACTCCTCTAAAGTGAAAAACAAAAATTATAATTTACTATTTCTATAAAATGTCTTACCATGATAACACAATCATTTCGATATAACTAACATTACAAGATGATATAACCTACACCCTCACATCCACATCCACACACCCTATGATCATCGTTCTTGGAAACGGAACCAAAAGTGACACCCTTACCTGTCATAGACTATGGCAAACATTTTTATATGCGATTATCGATTATGTATCAGTAGCCTCCAATGAAAGTATCTAAACTGCTTCATTTTTGCAGTTCTAGAGGATTAATTAAAAGTTGACGAAAAATGGGTCGGCAGATAGATCGAATAAAAAAATATCCTGGTGATTAGTAACAACAGTTTTATCGTGTTTCACCTTTTAATTCCGTAGTTGTTGTGCTAACATCTTTTCCAGGAGGAAGCTGAGATCTTCATAGCTTCCACTGTGACTTCCATACGAGTATAAGCTTCATGAATAAAACTTCTATAGATTCATGTAAAAAATGCGACAGAAAATTGATGTCCGAAATGATTAGTTATTCAAGGTTTTTCATAATTAAAGTATTTTATATGAATAATCCATCTTTTTTTTTTTAAATTTTCAACTTTATTGATCTTTTGCTATCCATAAATCTTTTTGACGCCCTTCACTACGATTTTGCATATAGGACACCTTTTAAATTTAGTGAACATTTCGTCTGCACACGATTGACAAAAATAATAGTGAAAACATGGATCAAATGCCACCTCTCGAGAAGCCGACATGCAAATAACACATTCATTCTGAATGATCGTTGTTGACTGTGATAAAACACTTTCAGCAGGTGAATCTGTTCGTAACGCTTGAAGCTGTTGATGACAAGTAGAGCAAACGATCGAACGTTTAATAATTCTTTGTTGATTGTTCTCTGTAACTGATCCTAAGCAGCAGAAACATATATTTCGACGAGAGAAGTACTTATCTTCAATATCAATGTTAGATTTTCGTAAAAAATGGTTGAATGCCGTGTAGATGTCTGTTGGATTGCTTCTCAATTTGTTCCAATATGCGTTAGTCATCCGAAACAACTTTTCATGCATTTCCTTCGCAGGACTATATGCTGTTTTATCCTTAGTTTGAAATAAGCCATTCCATTTGTCGATTGTTTCTAATTCTAGGAATTTTTCGAATAGTGCGCGCCACCAACTGGCCCCATGAACAACTTCTGACGTCTGATGCATAGTATCATGAGCGCCTTTGTGTTGATAACAAAAAACTGGATGATCCTTTTCCTTGACGTAACCTCTACCCATATAGAGTGCCTCGCACGGACGATATTCGTCAAGCAGTTTCCATAGGTCGTTCAAACGATCTTCGCATTCTTTTTTAACTAAATCATTAAATCCTTCAAAGTTGTGTCTCCGAAGTCGATAGGCAATGAAACGAGCCAATACTTCTATAGCAAAATCGCGGCAATAATGAAACCATCGAATAGAATGGATATTCTGTTGTTCGTATAATTTACGAAATAAAAATGATAAGATGTCATCTTCATCAAGAGTCTTTTCTTGAATTAAAATATCTTTCAATATCATGTGCATGTTAATGGGCTCATCTTTTGACAACTTTTGGCTAATTTTTCGCGTCAACAAAAGCCAAGGAAGACGAGGTAATAAACGACCTTGGTGTTGTTCAGATGTAGTAGTAAGTAGATTCTGCAGTTCATTGACTTGCTTATTGAAGTGTTCATTATTATTCACCATTACTCCTGTGTGTTTAAATGGAAAAATGAAACAATGAATATTTAAAAAGAACATCCAGAGATTAGGAGCATCAGGATTGGTGCTCAAGAATTTTTGAGTAGCTTCCTCTGACGACAATCGCTTTGGACCTGGATATCTATTCTGAATCATAATAAGCACTGGTTTATGAGCATTTTGTTGTGTATCAGCAACAGCTTGGACAGCAAACTGATAAGCTCGATCTACATATCGAGAATTGGAAAATAGGTCGTCTTGACCCACTAAGATGATGACATTACTCAAAAGATAAGCCAATCTTGGAAAATATTTTCCTACTGCATTGCGTCGCTTCTTGGCTGCTTCTGATGGCAACATATAGTTGGCCCAACATTTTAAAATACGTGGATGCGAATTACCATTTTCTCCTTCAATATCAAGAACCAAGCAGTTATTCTTTCGTTCTGTATTGAGTATTGAAGTAGATTCAAGACGAATTACATTTGCTGTTGTTGGGCCTTCATGTTCGCTTTCGTCGAAGGTGAAGGATTCGATACCAGGAAGATGGCTTGCGAGAAAGCTTTTACCACTTGCAGTATCACCGACGAAACTGACGACGAAGATGCTGTCACTCTGACTAGTTGTCGACGTGGACGCTTCAAGGTTAGTATTATAACGATTCCAATCAGATGCAAAAGCTTTACCTTCCTCTAAAACGATGACGCCTTGTTTTTCTTCTAGGTAAATAAGTTCATTTTCTTGTTGAACATTGATTTTATCAGGATGTTCTTTTGTTTCATTCGAATCTAATTGTTCATCAGTTGCAATAGAATTACTCATGGAGAAATTATCACTGGGTATGTTAGAGTTATGAAAACTGTCATTACTTTCCAAATTACTCATATTTACAAAAAAAGAAGAGAAAGAATTCTGAAGTGTGTTTTTTTTTAACAGGTCTCTTCTTTGCTATCTAGAAAAAATATTGAGTCAATTTCATACTTCTTTATCTGCTATAAACAAAGATAAAAGGACACAGAGCAATAACCAAATGCAAGTAGAGTAGAGAAGAAATATTGCGCAAAAACTAAGACAAGAAATATAGAAAATACAAGATAAAATCAAATAGTAGTGAAAAATAGGATATGGATGTGAGTATAGATATCACAATACATGGTATTTCAATGTTACCAGAAGAACTCATCTTATCAAGTGGCAATAGAATACTAGCATGAAAGGAAGATCAGAATTTCGGCCCGGTCCGAAATTCCGACGCTTTTTCGGGCCAGGTCGAAATTTCTCTAGGACTTTCGGCTCGTGACCTCATTAACTCCTAAAATAAAAATCTTAATTTTTTTAATTACCTGCTGGACATCGTAGTGTTGATCAAGACGTCATAATGGGTATGTAAGTGGGGTGCAGGTGTGGTGTGTCTAGGTGTCTGAGTCTTTTTTTCATTGATACGCACACCCATTATAGTGTTCTGCTCAGTACTACGCCATATCGCTGGGCACTATGTCGTTCTGCGAAGCACTACAATGTCCAGCAACTAATAAAAAAAAATTAAGTTTTTTATTTTAGGGGTCAATGAGGTCATGGACTGAAATTCCTCTAGGACTTTCGGCTCGACTAGAAAAAGCACCGGACTTTCTGACCGGGCCCATAGTCCGAACCGAAATTCATGTAACCCTATACAATCGTCGTGTTTTTGAAAACTGTTCATGCAGTACTCCATTGCTCTGGTTTTCCTTCCCTTCATGCCTTCAGTACTAAATTACACCTCTGAATACGAAATATAATTACACAACTTATTTCAATGAATGTTCATCTCAAAATATATTGAAAGTTGAGTTTTAATTTGAAATCATATTGGTATAATAACATATTATAGTGAACGAATTCAAATCTCATTTCATGATGTATTATATCATCATTTAATAACATTTTATAATAAAACAGATAAATATTTCATTGGCAATTTGTCGTTAGGGGCTATCCATATAGAACGGACGTCCAGACACGTACTATGCCTATTTTTCTTTTTTTTGTCACACAAAAGTCAGCGAAAATTTTGAAACTTAGTTTGTTTTGCAGAACATTTTTAAATAGAGTATAAACTGTATGTAAATCAATTGAATATAAATATGGTATTGAAATAATTGAAGGTTATGTTAGATGGACAGATAGTTCTTTTCTTGAGCAATACAATGAACGTTGTTAGATTTTGTAGTGCCATTTGTATAGAGATTCATTTTTCTATTTTCTATTCATTAAAAGAGAAATGGATTTGAAAAAGAAAAACTTTGCAATAGGTTATATTTTTGTTTGTGGTCTATGAAACATGTGTTTTGTCTTTTTATATTCATTTATTTAATGAAATATTATCTAATAAAAAAAGGAAGTGGTCCATTTTAGAAAACTATCTTTTTTTATGGTGAAGAGTGATTAAACTGAGAAAATCTGAGTAGAACAGAGGATCAAAAACTTTGGCTTTCACTTAGGCCTTCTTTATAAATGTCTCCTTATAAGATATTATACTTGTCTCATCACACACTGGAAAATTTTCATGTATAATTTATCAATCATGAGATTCGAATATATATGAATAGACAATGAATACAAAAAATGATGATAAACTTGATCTAATTAGCTTAAGTGAAGATTCTCTGATAATCGATGCATCATAACGATTAATACGTTTAATCATATAGATTATTCAT